GATGATGCCTGTAGCTATGATTACATAAATTTTATGTAATCATAGCTACAGGCATCATCAATAACAATTTCCCTTTGATTGATTTCGGACAAATAATTAATAAAAGTTAAAATAAACTAATTTTAACTTCTCGAATTTTTTTTCTTTTAGTTCAATAGTTTATTACTAAAACCAAGATTACTAAATGTACAGGATGTGATATAATGAAAATTATATACTTGGGTAAAATCATAAATACATTTTTCTCTCCGTAAAATTTGCATCTCCGTTAACAACATTTTGCGCAATGCGTTTTTGTTCCTTCGCCGGCGAGCCTTTAAAGATACGCTTATGGTCCAACAGTGGCTAACCAGTTCTGGTACGCAAGCTTAGGCACTTAACTGGATCACACGAATTTTGCCGGACCTGGCTAGCCAGCTCTGGATCATTAATTACTGCTGATTAGGAAGATAGTCGATGTAGCAGCACTTCCTAGTGGCAGCAGGCTATAAGATAGTTGAAGTATGTAGTGAAGCCAATAAATATTCTCTGTTTATATAAAAAAAGTCACCACTTTAAGCATGTCTCCACGCAAAAAAATAAAATTATTTTAGGCCGCTTAACTGCAGATTTACAGCTTTTTAACAATCCATGTGATTCAAGGAGTTTGAATACTGTTCATATTAAAAAAATTCTGTCCTACAAATGTATAATAAATAAAGCAGATTTTTCCTGTAAAGTTATAAGCACTTTTTGTCCATGATTTAGTTTTGTAGAAAGATCAACATAAAATTTTCATTACATATATATATATAACTTGATATCATGTAAACAATTTCAAGTTTGTTTTGATTTAATCCTTAATTTTAATTCTTAAATAAAGCTTGTTATGATTCCTAAAAAAAAAGTTACCAAAAAAATTAACTTAATTTAATATCAAATTATTTTTAGAAATAATTGTTATAAATTTTGTTATTATAAAGAAAATAATACTTTTAAAGGCTTTTTAAAGATTTATGGTAGAACTAGGGCCCTGTGAATCGACAGTTTTGTTTTAAATTGAATCTTAAATCTAAGCACGTCTTGATTCGCAATTCAAATCACATTTCGAATCAACATTTTGAAGTCTAAATTTAAGCAATGATATATATTTTAGAATAAAATAAAATGAAACAATTGTATAATCTCTTTATTGATGCTTCTTGGTTAAATTTTTTAATGACTGAGTAAAAAGGCATTTAAGGATAAGTAACGTTATTTTGATAGTGCCAAGGCGCAGAGTATCTAAAATACCCACAACAAAAACAAAATAAGTAAGGATTCAATTTTTTAAAATTTTTGAATCGTAACGTGAATCATATTTTTGATTTGATTAGATTTAAAATTTCGAAGCCTTGCAGGCTCCTTGATAAAACATTTTAACGCTTTCAATACAATTTTTACTAGGCAGCAATATAATGTATAAGTTAAATTTGTACCTTTTTCTTAGTTATTTTACACTAACAAATATTTTATGTATGAGAACAAAAAGTGTTGTTTTTAAAAGTAAATTTTTCCAGTTTAAAAAGTATAGTAGGGCAAGCAAAATGTACATTCAAGCTGTTTGGATAGAAAATAGTGAGAAATAGATAGAGAAATTACGGTTTTTTGTGTTGGCCGACATCATTAAATGTAATAAATATCTAAAATATTCAATGAAATGCATGAACCGCAGTTTAACTAATACAGATTTAAGCTGCTCAAAATTAAATGTTGTGGAGATAATGCAATTTTTTTTATAAACATTAAGTCTCTACTTTTTTTCCTTGTTTCTTTAAAATGCTCTATTTCTGTATATTTTGTTTTTATTGTTTAAGATATATTCTTCATTATATAATATATTTAAAACATAGTTTTAAATTGATTGAAGATTCTTAGATCATGAGTTATGTGATAACTTTGAATTTGCCACTACTAGTGATACTCAGATAGAACCAGATTCAGAAAACGTTAACTATTTTAAAAGATTTAAACTTAAGTTAAAAACTTAATTCAAATATTGTTAGTTTTGTTTTGATATTATTTATTATAGGAGCCACTACCATTCTTATGCAAGAGAAAACATAATCCAACCAAAATTTAAAGTTGTTTTGCTATTGGTGTTTTTTATTTCTTTGCCATGACATTTTATTTTATTGTAATGACATTTATTTTTATAGCATTTAGTAAAAGCTATTTTAGTATTGATTATTATTTTACATTGATTGATTTACTTTTTGATCTAAAAAATATTTAGATCATCAATGGCAAGATTTTCCTAAGGAAAGAGAGGCTTTTAATATAGTGCAAAGCCGAGGAAGCGCGTGTGTTTTTCCGCAGAAAAGTAAAAAAAGGTGTTTTGCCAGAGACGCCTCCATTAACTTCCGTTATAAGAAAAGCTATTAAAAAAGATTCCTCATCGACTGGAAAGTCTCCCATTACTTTGGAAGTTATGTGAAATATTTGATATTTATTTTAGCATGCATTCATTTTATTATTTAGTAAAAAAAGCAAGTAATTATCTTTAAGACATTAGATGAAATATATTTTGTCAAAATCCAATAATTTTTTATTTAACAAATAGCTATTTTGAAATAGTGTGTTTTTGTGTTTCAATGCTTTTAGAAATTAATTAATGTTTGGTTCTTTTGTGTTCCTGTTATATCTTTATTATTAGAATTTCAGAAAAAATTTATATATGCGCTGGTAGAAATTAAAGAGATGTGAATAAAGCTCTTTTCAGTAATTAAAATAATATCATGACAAATAGTCCTGAAATTTTATGGATGAATTTGCAGCAGCCATTTAGTGATTATGATAACAGTTTAAATGATTTTCGGGTGAGGTCTGAAAGTATGTTATTTCAAGTCATTACTTTTTGCAGCTTTTTTATTGTTTTTTTGGGATTATGTATTTTCTTAAGTTAATTTTAAAAATGCACTATAAAAATAATGAAATGTAATTATTTTCTTAACCCTATAGGGATTATGATAACAGTTTAATTGGGTAATGTCTGATGCAGGGCCGTTGCAAAGAGGTTATGACACCCTAGGCAAAACTTCAAAGGTCGCACCCCTTTTACGTAAAAAAATCAAAATAAAATGCAAAATAAAGTGAAAACACCAGGTAAGTATTTATTTATTTAAAAATATCAAAACTGTACTTTGCGTGCCTTTTTCTGGGCAAAATCGATCACAAGGTCCTTCAGGTCCAGCTTGCCTGCAAGTTCGTGCTCAATGGAAAGAGTTGCCAACCCAACCAATCTGTCTTGGCACATGAATGATCGAATGTATGTCTTTATCAATTTTAGTTTGGAAAAACTACGCTCTCCACTAGCGACAGAAACAGGTAATGTCATTAAAATACGAAGAGCAATACAAAGGTTGGGTAGACTGTCTTCCAAGTTTTGGCAAAGAATAAATCGAAAAACATCTTGAGGAGACTTTGTTTCTTCAGAAAGTCGTCGTGCAATAGACTGTAGTTCCCCACACAAATCTGATGCAACTAAATCTCTGTTATCGCCATGTTGTAAAGCAGATTCTAGTTTCATGCAACATTCCAATATTTCTTGTGAAGTTTTACTCTGTAGACCATGAATATGATATAAGAAACCAAATACAGATTCAATTGTTCTCATTTGTTCAAACCTTTCTTCGACCGACCCTATTGCTGTGTCAAGTATAACAAAGAAAAAATTCACTTTGAAATTTTGTTTTGGATCTTGCACAGGCTCATCTTCAGCTTCATATGCAAATTGCTTTTTTCTCCGCCGTAATCGTGGTTCTGCCTCAAAGTTTGGTGTTATCTCCAAATCCTTAGCAATTTCAGCAGCATCCACTAGCATTCTTGCAAAACCTATGTCATTCCTACAGTCAACCAAATAGGCTTGTGTGTGTTGTAACTGTTGTACAGCAGCATGAATATCCAAATCTTTAGCTTGGAGCTGCTTACTTGTTATATTGATTTCAAAAAGTATGTTGTACCATACAACAATTGAAACCACGAACTTAAACTTTGCAACACTATTCGCAAGTGCTTTAGCATCACTGCGTGCAGTGCTTCCTGAGGATCCAGTTAGAGAAGTATCATCAGCTATTTCTAGCAGTGCATCATATACTTTACCAAGTTCATATCGCAAAGGCTTTATAGCATCTATTCTGCTTTCCCATCTTGTTTCACTTAGAGGTTTAACAGTTAACGTAGGTTGATGACTAGTGAAAACTACCCACCGATGTGTTGAAGACGAAAAATATACATACACTCGTTGGACAATATCAAAAAAACTTGTAGCCATTAGACAACAATTTGCAGCATCATTGACAACCAAATTAAGAGTATGCGCGCTGCAAGGAACAAACAATGCTCGAGGATTAATGTTTAATATTTTTTTTGAACACCATTATTTTTGCCTATCATATTTGCGCCATTATCGTAGCCTTGGCCACATAAATTATCAATAGGTAACTCTGACTATTTCTTCTAGTTGTTGTATTATCGTTTCTGCCATATAGGCTCCAGTTGTTTTCTTTAAAGGTACAAAGCCTAAAAAATGTTCTTTGATACTAAACTCCTTTTTCAATGAATCTACTTTAACAAAACGAATAATTATTGTCATTTGCTCAACATGGCTACAGTCAGGAGTACCATCGAGAACTATTGAAAAATATTTCATTGCATTTGCTGTTTGTATGATTTCTTTCTTAATAGCATTTCCTAACAGTTGAATAAGTTCATTTTGTATATCTTTGCCAAGATAGTGTGTATGAAGCTCTTTATTTGATATCTTTCGTAGATGTTCGTTCATTAATGGATCAAAAATGGCTAAGTATTGCACAAGTTTTAAAAAATTCCCGTTATTGGCACTGTACAATGTTTCATTTGTACCGCGTAAAGCTAGATTCTGTTCACCCAAAACTCTCACTAATGCTATTAAACGCTTTAGTATTTGCTGCCAATACTTTTCTTCATTCTTCATCTTGCGCAAAATTTCTGCATCTATTGTACTATCGCTGATGTAGTTCTTTCCACTTTTGATAGTTCTGCAAATGTTCAGGACTTTTCTCGTGAGAAGAAAGAATTGCCGCCATGTTTTTCCAGTCACTTGAACCTGTATGAGTTAGTGATGATATGCCAATTGCTTTCATACTGAACAGTTTGCAACAGAAACAAAACACTGAGTCTTTTAATACTGAATACAAGAGCCAGCTGCGACATAATTCTTTTCCATTAGGAAGTTTTCTTAAGTAGTGAAATACTGAAAACTTTCGATTGTTCTTATCATTTGGGAAACTGATATCTTTAATTTGCTGAGGTCCACGTTCTACAATGATTGCACGTGTATTATGATTAATTAGTAGAGGCCAAAGTGATGGATCCTGTGGAATAACATTATCCGTTTTTTCTTCACTTGCTTGCTGTACATGTTCCTCGAGAGAATTATTCAATTGGCCATTATCTGCATGGGAAACGGGAACTGTTGTGTAAGAAAGTGTTCCACTCATCATTATCAATTACATTAGAAAGTGTTCCACATTATCATTATCAACAACATTAGATATTTCTTCAGCTTCCATATCAGTGGGAATCTGTCCACCATTACTATCCTCTTTAGTAGAGTCTTGTCGGCATATAAACTTTAGCAATGAACCCTTCTGTTTTTCTTGTTCTCTCTGCTGTTCAACTTTTCGTTTACGATATTGAGCTCCTGAAGGCTTCTTTCTCTCAGCCATATCTGAAATGTAACAAGAAAATAATAAAATAAATGAATGTTGCAATGTTTAACTAATACATTAATAGGTCTTCTGTGATTGGCTTCAAGAATAAATTATATATAGCTAGCTATAGTTTCCAACAGGTCTGAACAGCTCTGTAAGGTTTTAACAGGTTATCATTTAACTGTATTATACAAAAAACAACTTGGCAAAGTTATACGTCCTGCTAGTATTTTTTGTGTTTTTTTTTCCAACGGAAATGGAAGTTAGCTATATGAATGAGATTTCAATGTGTAATTAGCTGGTGCAGATCAAGACATATTGTAGAAGCGACTCAACAAAAAATTTAACCTGCTAGATGCATTGTGTTTAAATAATTCAAATTTTATTTTGTATAGCAAAGTTATACGTATGGTGAAGTATAATAATAATATAATACGTAGTATATAATAGCCCTAGATTTAAGCTAGTTATTATATATTCATATAAAAAATATTTTACTTTTCTTAATAAGTGTCTAAAACTTAATATAAATGTATAATAGTATATAGAATGTCACTATTCATCTATATGTATATATATATATATATATATATATATATATATATATATATATATATATATATATATATATTGTCAGTATAAATTATATAAAGAATATAGTCGACTAACTATTGAAAGTTGTTATGAAAATCACTTTGATTGTAAAGACGCCGCCATATTTGTTATGATTTAGATTGCGTTCGGTAAAATGTACGTACATACGTACGTACATTTTACCGAACTTTTTACATTGAGCGTACATACACGTACGCTCAATGAGCAAAAGCGTTGTTTTTTGTTAGCATATAAAAAAACTTATCAATTTTTAGGCGCCCCTAAACTTTGGCGCCCTAGGCGATTGCCTAGTTCGCCTATAGGGTGCACCGGCCCTGGTCTGAAGTGATAAGTTTTTTTAAACCATTACTTTTTGCACTTTTTTTAAAAGTATTTTTTCGATTATGTATTTGCTTAAGTTAATCTACTTGTAACTTTTTATAAATGTACTATAAAAATATTGTGATGTTATTATTTTCTTAACCTTTTAGGTTAACAAACTTTTTAAAATCAGAGGTAAGACAAATACAAAAAATGTGATGCAAAGGTTGATTAAAAGTAGTTTTGAATAAAATCTTTTGAATCTTGTTATTATAGTTTGTTTTAAAAATATGTTTAGCTTATATATCTAATAGTTTGACGAATTTTAATCAGACATAAAGCGTGTGTTTTTTTTTTTTGTATTTCTTAAGATAAAGAACAACCTTAAAGCACAAAAGTTGTTTTGTAACGCATTTTTAACCTTTTTTTACTCTACATATGCATACATATATATTTACATAAATAAACATACATATATATGTATGTATATATACATATATTACATATATATATAATACACACACATATATATATATATATATATATATATATATATATATATATATATATATATATATATATATATATATATATATATATATATATGTATGTATTATATATATATGTAATATATGTATATATACATACATATATATGTATGTATATATACATATTTTTGATGTATTTCATGCATATCACCCAGGCAATATATTGCCTGGGTAATTTGTATGAAATACATCAAAAAGTTAAAAATAGCATCAAAGCAACAAACTCTGATTTTTAAAAATATAAAATTTTACACTTGACTTTTAGCAGTTGCTTAAATTGACATGATACTCTCTATAAAAAAAGGTATACCTTTTTTTATAGAGAGCGTCATGTCAATTAAAGCAACTGCTACAGTTTCCGAAATAAGAAAAGGAATAATGACTTTATTAAAATACGCGCTCGACAGATCGAATGGTGGTGGTCGGCGCGTAAAAGGTGATTCACCAGATGTATAACATTCATACCTTTTCCTAATTGTCCTGGAACTATTGTTAAATAAAACGTTTATTTTCAAACATTTTACTCTATTTGCATTGTATATAAAGTTCATTGAAGCATTTTTGTTGTATCTGATTAATTTACATGAAATATAATATTCTTTGCGCAAATTACTGCTTTTTTATTGTGTTATTTTATTGCAATTAAAGTTGAGATAATTTTTTAGTTAATTGGATATTAACCAAAATAAAAAGCAAAACTCAACGTTCTTTCAACAATGTCTCGACGTTGTTCTAAAGTCGTATCAACTACGTTTCAACCGAATATCACCTATTCAAAGTTAAAATATAGTTGATATATCGTCGATAAGACGTTAGAACAACGTTGAAACAACGTAATCATCGATGTTGTTTCAACGTCGTAGTTTTCAACAAAATTTTTTAATCAATGCTAAAAAATATAAATTCAGAGTTTATGGTAATATGTTCAACTGAAACATTGTGCAAAAATGAAAAAAATAATTTTCAAAACTGAAAAAATGAAAAAAATAACTTTTCAAAAACATTTAAAATGGTATCTAAAAGAAGTAAAAAATAAACAAATTTACATCACGGGGGACTTTAACATAAATATTCTTAATGTTAAAACTGATAACGATGTAAAACACTTCTTAAACTATCTTTTTCAATACAACATTTTTCCCTTAATAAACATGCCTACTCGTGTAACTCTGCAAACCAAATCTTTCATAGATAATATTTTTACTAACATTTTTACAACATGCAACATTCAAAGCAGAATCATAAAATGCGATATAAGCGACCACTTTCCAATTTTTTTTATATCTGATTTAACGGAACGGAACGGAATGGAACTAAAAAAAAAAGGCATAACACTGAAAATAATATTAAGGAATTTACAAATTATTTACTCAAAGTAAACTGGAAACAACTACATAATTGCAAAGATACAAATAAAGCCTATGAATTTTTTTACAATGAGTTTTTTAATGCGTACGACAAAGTTTCCAATGAAAGAAATTAAAACCAAGCTTAAAGGACTACAAAGTCCATGGATTATAAAAAGACTTATTAAATCTTTTAAGAAGAAACAAAAACTAAATGAAATATACTTAAAAAAAAAACTAATCAAAACGATAAAAAATATATATAGAAAGAAATCTGTTTGATAACTTGAAAAAAAAAACTAAAAAAATTATTTCTCAAATTTATTACAAATGAATATTGGAAAACAATAAAAAAAACTTGGAATATAATAATAGAAGTGATAGAAAAAGAAAGGTAAACTCGTAGTGATACTTCACCTAAATATTTATTTACTGAATATGAAAGAACAATAACTAATGAGAAAAAAGATATTCCAAACAGTTTCAATAACTTTTTATAAACGTGGGTAAGAACCTAGCAAACAAAATAACACCAGGAAAAAAAATTTTAAAATTATATTTAAAAGAAGTGGACTAAGTAATGGATGAGCTTGAGGTATCGCCTGATGAACTTCGGATTGCTTTTAATATGATAAAAAGAAACAAAAGCGCAGATCTTGATGGTCTTTAAGCCTAAAGGTTGTTAAAGAAGTTTTTGATATTATTGAATACAGGGGTATTTAATAATATCAAAACTTACCATATTTAATCTTTCATTTAAAAATGGAGTTTTTCCTGACCTTTTGAAACTAGCTAGAGTGGTTCCGATATTAAAAGATGGTGATATCTTAAAGTTATTTAATTACAGACCTATTTCAATACTCCCATATTTTTCTAAAATTCTAGAGCGAATAATGCATAACAGGCTTTACAACTATATCACAACTCACAAAGTTTTAAATAATAATCAGTACGGATTTAGAAAAGGGTATTCGACAGAACATGTAGTATTTAAATTAGTTAAAGAAATATTAAGTGGGTTTGAAAACAACCAATATATTCTTGGAGTGTTTATTGACCTCTTAAAGGCCTTTGATACTGTGGACCATGATATTCTTCTTTACAAACTTAAACTTTATGGAGTCAAAAATAATAATTTTAAATGGTTTTGTTCCTATATTAAAAATCGCAAACAATGTGTTTCTTATGACAAAACGAACACTAAATTAGAAAACATTACATGCAGAGTTTTACAGGGATCTATTTTAGGGCCTTTATTGTTTATTATTTATATCAACGATATTTACTTATCATCTAGTATACTAAACTTCAATCTTTTTGCTGATGACACTCAAGGTTTTTATACTTACTCAAACATTAAGACAATCTTTACCACTATAAATCATGAACTTGATAACCTTAATGAATGGTTTAAAGCCAAAAAACTTTCTCTGAACCCTACAAATAGCAAACATACTCTCTTTTTTAAATCTTCCAAATCTGACACGTTGCCCTTAAAACTCCCGGATATTTCAATAGAAGAAACCAAATTGCAACGAACATTCTGTGATAAATTCTTAGGCATTTTAATTGATGAGCAAATAAGTTGGAAAGAGCATATTAATGTAGTAGAAAATAAAGTTTCGAAAAGTATTGGAATTATGTATAAAACTAGATTTATGTTGGACAATAACTGTTTAAAATTCATTTACTTTTCATTTATTCATAGCTTTATTAGTTATTGTAACATTGCATGGGCAAGTACTTATTCGACAAAACTAACGTGTATCTTAAAAAAAAAAAAAAAACAAGCAAGCCGCCTTATATTAAATGATAATAAATACACCAGTGCCAATCCAATGCTTAGAAAGCTTGGACTGCTGAATGTTTACCAAATAAATATTTATAATATTCTCTTATTCATGTTTAGATTAAAATATCATATGCTGTCTAATATTTTTGAAGACCTTTTCTTTATTTTAGATCATAAATATCAAACAAGGCATTCGTTGCTTAATTATTAGGTACCAATAACTTTGTTAAAACAATTCGAGTTCTCAATAACTTACCGAGAGCCACATTTGTGAAACGTATTCCTCCAAAATAATAGCAAAATTATAACTTCAATTTAAACTTTTAAAAGTATCTTAAATAATCAGGTACTTGATTATGACGTGTCTTAAATACTATTTTATTTTTAATTTTTATTTTATTCTCTTTTATTTTTTAACTTTTCCTTTTGTTAAAAAATGATATCACCCTTTACATCGTTATTTTAAATCTTATTTTTTTTTTTTTTATCTTAAGTTGTATCGTATTCAAAAAAAATAACTGTGACACTTTTTATTAAAATGTATTTAATATTACTTTACTGAGATTGTAATATTTTTTATATAATAGATAATTTTTTTGTTTAATATGTAAATAATGCAACGGGCCTGGATGATAAGACTTTTGTCTTCTGCCTGCTCTCGTCACATCTTAGCTCAAAAAAATGTTGTAAATAATTTATTATGAAGATGACGAATATATATATAAATATATATATATATATATATATATATATATATATATATATATATATATATATATATATATATATATATATATATATATATAGTTTTTACTAAAAACCAAATCATTTTATAACGTATGATAGAGCAAAAAGTTTTACGATAATACTATAAAAATAATTTCATCTAAAAATCCCTTTAAAATGTAATTCATAAAAACTAAAAAATTGCTCGATTAACGTAAATTGAATTAACTTTCTTTTAAAAAGAATTTTTGACATTCTTTATTTTAAATGCAAAGCAATTTTTTAAAAGAAAAATTTGTGCTTGTTAACTTATTCACATCAAAAACTGCTTTATATACTTTCGCTTTCGAAAAATCTGAGAGATTTTTCGAAAGCGAAAGTACTGATTAAAATTTTTTAAAGCGCATTAAAATACCTGATGTTTTTGCTGAAAAACTTCAAATGAATAAAAAAGATTCGGAAAAAATAGATTATCAAATAAGAAAGAGGTTTGCACAAAATTCAAACCAAAAGCAACTAAATAGTTAAATTTAGGTATGGATGAGAAAAGCGGTAAGAATATTTAGCTGGTTAAAATTTTAGTTGCATAAAATAATTATTGTTATTGGTAACCATTAGTTTGACGCTTTTTGACATAAAGCGGGTGTTTACGAGGGAGTATATGCCAACTTACGAAAGTGCGTCAAAAGAATTCGCAAACACTGGCATAAGCGCAAACTGACAGAATTTTTAAACGCTGGCATAGGTGCAAAGCATAAGTACTAATGCTTTAGCTTATTAAATTTAAAAATTTTTTTGTTTTTAAAAAATAACAGAAGTGGATGCCTTAAGAATCTATGGAAACGCGACAATTTATTGCAATCTTGCAAAAGATATTTATTGAACCATAACAAACTGATTTAGTAAGTTTACCTCACTGGCACGATTTTGCAAAGACTTTTTTTTTTTGCAAAATCATTACTTTATACTTTCTTGAAGAGTCATACTAAAGCTCATCTTAAACATAGGCACTTATAAATTTTTTATAAAAAGCGCTTAAATATAGCCAAGAAACATTTGATTCACTTTGTTCTTTTACAAATTGCAATTAACATTCTATTAAAACTGAAATGTTTGTGGTGGCATTAGTTAAAAAGTCTTATTAATACAGATCAGCGTTATATTCATAAAATTTTTGTAAAAACAAATTCTTTTTTTTTTAAGACAAGCCTTTAATTAGTTTTCCAAATTGTGATCAAGAACAGTCAAAGCAAGATGAAGCTATCGGCTATCGGCTTATGTAAGACGTTTTATTAAATTGACAAAATGTTTTATTATTATATGTATAAGCTAATATGACCTCATTTTTTCAGACTAATCCATTAAATCAAGCAACTGTTAACATACAACCTCAACCATATGTTATATATCCTTCAACATATTACAACTTTGCTTGGCTCGCTAGTTTATTTTGTTGTTTGCCTCTTGGTGCTGTCGCGATATACTACTCACGTAAAGTAAGTACCACAGCATAAAAATGTTTTTGAAAAAAATTTTTGTAAAATAAAATATTAAAGTAACTAAAGGTTGAAATTTAACAATGAATAACAAGTTATTATGTTTTAATGAATAAATCTTTATTATTCCTTGTTATCTTTGTTAAATTTCAACTTTACTTGCTCTTCTCTTTTATTTTTATTTTATTTTATTAACTTTTCTGAACAATCATTTATCCGCGTCTAACTTATATTACATTTTATAATTTTATAACAATTTTAAAGCTCATTTGCATAAGTTCCCAGTAGGATTCCAATAAATTAGAAGTATCTTAGAACAATTGATTTAAAATAGTTGATAAAACACTTGAATGTTTTAAGTTGCCACAAATGTTATCTTTTTCTAATTATGTTAACATTATTTCAAAGGCACAGATCGCTATCAATGAAGGAAATATTGAAAATGCAAGATATGCTTCAAAATTAGCAAGAAATTTGGTTATAGGGTCAGTTGCAATTGGTTTAAATTTCATCTGGATTCCTATGGTAGTAAGGTTCTTAACTAATGGTAAAATCTTCTAGTTCTCGTCTTCTGAAACGTACAACTGTTTACTGAATAAAACTTGGTGTTAAGACGAATCTGCAATATTCTTGTTCTTGCAACCTTTATATTTATTAGTACACAATACTTGTAAATATCATATGCACGGTTTAAAAAATAGAAAAAATAATGACAAAAAAAAAACAGTAAAAAATAACAAACTAGAAGTTAGTTTACTCTGCGTTCGTAAATGCATAAAGTTTTTAGAGCATTAACAAACTAAGAATTTAAAGTTTATATTTTATTAAATAAATATACTCATATAATTAAACAAATGTACTCATATATTTTTTCAAACTTTTTAAAGAAACATGTATATATATATATATATATATATCCATTTATATATATATATATATATATATATATATATATATATATATATATATATATATATATATATATATATATATATATGTATATATATATATATATATATATATATATATATGGGTAAAAATTTCTCAAAAAACAAGGGGTTGCACCCTGCATCACCAAACTCGCTGTAATTTGGCACAAATGTTTAAAGATATAAGTTAGGAAAGACTGTAAAAATTTTTCAAAAAATTCAAAACCTTTTAAGATTTACAGCAACTTGAAGTTAGTTATTTTTTGACTGAAAAAAGAGGGGGGGATAAAGCCGGAAATATGTTAATTTACCATTACCCTTTTAACAAACTTGTAGTAATGTTGCGAAGCTAAAACTTGGTACCAAAGGAGTTCAAAACCTGCTGAATCTGAAAATCATAAACTTATATCTCTCAAAACAATAAAATATAGTTTTTTTAGATCCACAAAACGCACTTGTTAATGACAATAAAAAAGGCCTTTATAGTCCTAGAAAAAATCTGACTGGTTAGTCAGATTAATATATAGTCCTAGAAAAAATCTGAATGGTTAGTTTTACAATTTTTCTAAAGATATTTTGCAAAAAAAAAAAAAAAATTTTGCAAATATATTTTGAATACAAATACAATTATTTTTGTTTTGTAATAGCTTTGTAAAAAATTTTCAAAGTTATTACAAAACATAGTTGAACATTTTATAAATTTGTTTCTTTTTACTTTCATTACATAATAATAATGTCATTTTCATTACATAATATCATGTCATTAAATTTAACAATATTATGTAACTTTTTTTGTTGATTGTTTTGTAATAAAACATTTATTATCACCAATAAAAAAAGTAATAAAATGATATAACATTAACATGTTAAGTTACATAACTAAATAAAATTATATTTAGTTATCTTTTACTTTTACACAACTTTTTGTAAGTAGTTAATGGAGAATTTACAATAATTAGTAGATAGTTAGGCATTTAAAATATGTCTATTAAACTAATAGCTACTTTTTCAAGCAATATGTTCTTTATAAATACATATTAATATGATATTGTTGTGTTCAAGTGTTTTCTTGTTAGGGACATTAAGATTATTTAAGATTTCTTGTATTAAGTGTTTAGACAGAGATTCCTCATTATATTTTTATATGGATAACAAAATTAATTGCTGCTTTGCAAATAATTATGGAGCTTGTTATAAACAATCATATACTCAAGAAAGAAATCTGATTGATGATATTGACAGCAATGATCGTAAGCTACTTGGAAAACGAACAAATCTGAAACAAGAACAAATTACTAATATATGCACATACCATCATGATATGTTAGTTGTAAGATATGAGTGTAATCAGAAAAGTTGCTGTAATCCATTTCTGAGTCACCAAAAAGTGTGTAGATGTAAAAATTTATATATTTATGTTTCATTAGGTAATATCATCATTAATAAGTCATATTAGTTTTTTTGGTACTAAGATTTGTTCAATGTTTCATAGTTATTAATATAACAAATTGTATAGTAATATAATTACATGATATATATAATTAATGTTATTTAAGTAATGTAATTACTTTCTTTTTAAGCAACTCTCCGTGTGATTACAATGCATACCCAGTGGGCACACGACGTTATTTCAACGTTGATTTACGGTTGATTTTTAGTCGCGGCGTCGTATAACCAAAAATCAACATTGTATTAACGTTGAAAATTTGTTTAAAACTATCAAAATAAAATCAACGTTGATTCCACGTTAATTCAATGTCTATTTCACGAGTTCGACTGTTCGTATTGCATTTTGAGAACTCAAATACGCATGCGTGACTTTACTAGGCCTTCTGTTGCCTTTTTATAAGGTTTTAAATTTGACAATTTAACAATATCATATGGCTTGACTTGTGATGCAGTTAGTTAAATAAATATTAAAGAGATATTTTTCTATGACGGCAATATATCATGGGTGTGGATTACGAGTGGACTTTAATTTTTCTTGCTTGAATTTTTTTTACAGTTTTTCTATATATATACTAATTTTAAATATAGAAAAACTGTAAAAAAAAATTCTATAATTTCTATAACTATACTAATTTTATATTATATAAATATAAAATATATATTTTCAATCTATATATATATACATATATGTAAATATATGTATATATATATATATATATATATATATATATATATATATATATATATATATATATATGTATATATATATATATATATATATATATATATATATATATATATATATATATATATATATATATATATATATATATATATATATATATATATATATATATATATATATATATATAAAAGCAACCTAAAATAATTTAATTTTTTTGCTTGTTACGCTCTCGTTAATGGAGGTTTTTTAAACCATCAAAATATTATTTGAAACAATAAAATAAAAAAGATTGCTGCCCCATGCCAAACCTTCAGTTGATGTAGTAGCACTTCCTTTTAGCAGCAGGCTATATGATAGTCGATGTAGCAGCACTCCCTTGTAGCAGCAGGCTATAAGATAGTTAAGGAATATAGTGAAGCCAAAGATATTCTCTTTTTATATTAAAAAGTCACCACTTTAAGCATGTCTCTACGCAAGATCACAATAAGCGAAAAAATGAAACTATTTTAGCCTGCTTAACTGCAGATATACCGCTTTTTAACAATCCATGTGATTCAAAGGGTTTGACACTTGAATTTCAATATAGTTTTCACTAGGCAGTTAAATAATGTATAAGATAAAGTTGTAAGTTATTTTACACTAACAAATATTTTATGTATGAGTATAAAAAGTGTTGTTTTAAAAAATAAATTTTTCCAGTTTAAAAAGTATAGTTGAGCAAGAAAAATGTACATCAGAGCTGTTTGGATGGAAAATAAAAAGAAATAGAGAGAAAATACAATTGACAGTTTTTTTTGTTGGCCATCATCATTAAGTGTAATAAATCATTTCAATGAAATACATGAACCGAGGTCTAACTAATACATATTTAAGCTGCTCAATATTAAATGTTGTGGAGATAATGTATTTTTTTTTTTATAAACATTAAGTCATTACTTTTTTTCCTTGTTTCTTAAAAATGCTCTATTATTGTATATGTTGTTGTTAGTGTTTAAGTTACATTCTTTAATATATAATATATTTAAAACATCGTTTTAAATTAAATGATTATTCTTATCATGAGTTATGTGATAATTTTGAATTTGCCACTACTAGTGATACTCAGATAGAATCAGAATCAGAAAGTGTTAACTATTTTAAAAGATTTAAACTTAAGTTAAAATCTTAATTCAAGTATTATTAGTTTTATTTTGATATTATTTATTATAGGAACCACTACTGTTCTTATGCAAGGGAAAATATAATCTAACCAAAAATAACCAAGAACCTACTCCTATAACGCAAAAAACGAAAAAGAAAACAACTTTTATGCATACTCCGCATACTATAGTTCAAGGTATTGATTGTCTGTCTGCAAATTGTTTTAGAAAGAAAAGATTTTGAATGTTTTTTTTTCTATGCTTTTACACATTTTATTGGTTGTTAAATAATATATTTTATTTATTTTATTAATGTTTTAAAGTTATTTTTTTATTGTTTTTTTTTTTTTTTCACTTTGTTATGACATTTTATTTCATTGGTATGACATTTATTTTATTATAGCATTTAGCAAAAGCTATTTTATTTCTAGCATTTTAGTATTGATTATTTTTTTAAGTGGTTGATTTTTTGATCTTAAAAATATTAGGATCAGCAATGGCAAGGTTTTCCAGAGGAAAGAGAGTATTTTGATATAGTGCGAAGCCAAGTGGCGTGTGTGTTTTTCCACATAAAAGAAAAAAGGTTGTTTAACCAGACACACCTGCATTTGTTTCCCTTGTAAGAAAAGCTACTAAAAAAGATTTCTTATCGAATGGAATGGAAGGAAGGTATGTGAAATATTTGATATTTATTTTGGTATGTATTCATTTTATTAATTAGTAAAAAAAGCAAGTAATTATCTTTAAGCCATTAGAAGAAATATATTTTTTCAAAATCCAATAATTTTGTTTATTTAATAAATGGATATTTTGAAATAGTGTATTTGGTTCTTGTGTTTCAATGCTTTTAAAAATTAACTAATGTTTGGTTCTTTTGTCTTACTGTTATATCTTTATTATTAGAATTTCAGAAGAAAGTTTTAAATGCACTAGTAGAAATGAAAGAGATGTTGGTAAAGCTCTTTCCAGTAATTAAAATAATATCACGACAAATAGTCCTGATATTTTATGGATGAATTCACAGCAATCATTTAGTGATTATGATGACAGTTTTAATGATTTTTGGATGAGGTCTGAAGTTAGTTTGTTTCAAATCATGACTTTTTGCAACTTTTTTATTGCTTTTTTGGGGTTATGTATTTGCTTAAGTTAATCTACTTGTAACTTTTTATAAATGTACTATAAAAATAATGTAATGTAATTATTTTCTTAACTCTTTAGGAATTATGATAACTGTCTAAACGGGTGATGTCTGAAGTGGTAATTTTTTTTAAATCACTTTTTTTTTTTTTTAAAAACTTTTTGTATTTTTAAGCTATTACTTTTTGCACTTTTTTTATATATTATTTTTCTATTATGTATTTTCTTAAGTTAGTCTACTTGTAACTTTTTATATATGTATTATAAAAAGAGTGTGGTGTAATTATTTTCTTAACCCTTTAGGTTAACAAACTTTCTAAAATCAGAGGTAAGACAAATACAAAAAATGTGAATCAAAGGTTAGTTAAAAGTAGTTTAAAATAAAAAACCTTTTGAATCTTGTTATTATAGTTTGTTTTAAAAATGTGATATATATATATATATATATATATATATATATATATATATATATATATATATATATATATATGTGTGTATATATATATATATATATATATATATATATATATATATATATATATATATATATATATATATATATATATATATATATATATATATATATATATATGTGTATATATATATATATATATATATATATATATATATATATATATATATATATATATATATATATATATATATATATAATGTATCAATTTTTAATATAACTATAATGATAATAATAATAATGTATAATGCAGGTTAACTAAGGCAATACCTTTTTTTATAGAGAGCGTCATGTCAATTAAAGAGACTGCTACAGTTGCCGAAATAGGAAAAGGAATAATGACTTTATTTAAATATGCACTCGACAGATCGAATGGTGGTGGTCGGTACAAAACAACACTCGTACCTTTTCCTAATTGTTCTGAAACTATTGTTAAATAAAACTTTTTTTTTCAAAAAATTTATTATATTTGCATTTTATATCAAGTCCCTTGAAGCAATTTAGTTGTATCTTATTAATTTACGTGAAATATAATATCCTCTGCGCAAATTATTGCTTTTTTATTGTGTTATTTTATTGCAATTAAAGTTGAGATAATTTTTTAGTTAATTGGATTTTAACCAAAATAAAAAACAAAAATTAACGTTGAATTTACGTTGTTTCGACGTTATTCTAACGTCGTATCAACTACGTATCAACCGAATATCACCTATTCAAAGTTGAAATATGGTTGATATGTAGTCGATATGACGTTAGAACAACGTTGAAACAACGTAATCATCGATGTTGCTTCAACGTCGTAGTTTTCAACGTCGGATTTTATTTCCAATTCAACCAAATTTCAACGTTGTTTCAACGTGGCATATGATCGGTTAACGACGTTGTTTCAACGTTATTTCAACGTCATTGTGCCTGCTGGGTACTGTGTTAGAAGCAGAAACTATAGGTTTAAATCTTATACCTGAAAAAAAACTGTGTCCAACCCTAACCCTGAAGTAAAGTTATCATGTTTATCAAAAAGTATAAGTGAAAATAAAAATGATGAAGATTTTGATATTGTTAATGAAAAATCCATTCAAAATAAAAAAGAAAGTGTAGATACACACTTTGAATCTGCTGGAGTATCTCCAATTAAGGGCAAGGATTGCACAAGTCAGGTAAAATCAGAGAAGGTAAACGAAAATTGACAGCATTAACAACCTCCATTAAAAATAAAGGTAGCCATTTCCCTTAATAATTTTGAAGAACAGTCAAGTTTTAATAATGAGTATATGGAAAAAGCAAACTTGTTTGATAACATGATGGTATTGTTAACCAACAAAATTGCAGAGTCTACATCAACATAAAAAAAATTACAACTTGCAACACTTGCTTCAACAGACTGTTCAATAAAAAAGGTATCTGAAACATTGCATGCAACAAACTATGTAGCTCGAACTGCACGTAAGTTAACATTAAAAAAAGGTATTTTCACCATGCCTGATCCTAAATAAGGAAAAGCTCTTCCTGATGTAACAGTTTAACTGGTCAAGACCTTTTACAAAGACGATGAACATATAATGTATAATACCTGGTAAAAAGGATTATGTAAGCATAAAGAAAAATGTCCACATGCAAAAACGTTTGCTCTTATGTAATTTAAAGGAATTGTTTGTTGGCTTTAAAACCAAGAACCCAGATATAAAAATAGAATTTTCAAGGTTTTGCACCTTGCGACCTAAATGGTGTATTACTGTTGGTGCCTCAGGAACACATTCTGTATGCGTCTGTGTTATTCATCAGAATTTGAAACTGCTTTTACATCCTCTTGGTGTGACATAAAAAGAATTGTTACCTTATATTGTCTGTGATATAACTAATAAAGACTGTATGATGAGGAAATGTGAAAAATGCCCAGCAACTATAAATGCATTGGTTGAAAAACTTTATGATATACTTGGAGAATTTGAAGATGATGCTGAGATTGAATTTGATCAATGGACAACAACAGATAGGTCAAACTTGACACATAATAAAGAGTTCGTGTTTGAATACATTGAACTAGTATGTAGAAAACTGGAAAAACTTGCACCACATTCGTATTTAGCAAAGAGTCAAGCATTATACCTGAGTTCAAGAAAGAAAGATATGAATGAGGTAACAATATTATTTTAAGGTGATTTTTCAGAAAAAAAATAAATTAGTAGTTCAGGATGAAGTGCAAAGCTTTCATTGGACAAATTTACAATGTACACTTCATCCAGTGATTATTTATTTCAAAAAAGAAGGCATTCTCAAGCACAAATCCTATTGTATTTTTTCGGATGATATGATCCATGATGTGAACATGGTTTATAAAATTATTGAGGTTGTTTGCAATGATATAAAAACAAATTTGCCTCAAATTAAAAATATTGAATACTTTTAGATGGGTGTGCAGGTCAATATAAGAATTGCAAAGATATGTTAAATCTTTGTTTCCATTGTGAAGGTTTTGGTTTTACTGCTAAATGGTATTTTTTTGCAACTAGTCACGGGAAGCAACCTTGTGATGGGATAGGTGGTACAGTCAAACGTCTGGCAACACTAGCAAGTTTGCAAAGAGATATGAGTAATCATATTTTATCTCCACAAACAATGTATAAATATTGCAATTAAAACATTGAAGGCATAAATTTCATATAAATTTTATCAGAAGATTTAACTTTAGTGAGGACCGCTCTTAAAGAACGATTGGATACTGCTAATACAATACCTGGAACACGTAGTTACCATCAGTTTGTACCACTTGGTCATCAAAAGGTAAATTATTATTTTTTAATTATACCTTTTACCATATTTTAAAATACACGCATAACTTTTATTGATAAACTCAAATAGATATTAGATTTTTGCAGAATCATTATCAAAAATATTTGTATTTTATTTTATTTTCTCTGCATTTGCTATCTATGCATTTAATAAAGCATGTTTGATAAGTAAAACGGAATAATTGCATATGTTACTATTTTGTTTAGGTAAGCACTAAGCTATGCAGTGTTGATGAAGAATTTGCTTTAATTCATGACTTTGGAAATATCCAGATAACAACTGTACACCTAGTACCAGGTGATTATGCCTGTGTTTCCTATGAGCAAAAATGGTGGATAGGAGTCATTGAAGATATTAATTTTAGAAGAAAAGATGTGCTTGTAAAATTTATGTGTCCTAATGGCCCTGCACGGTCGTTTAAATGGCCACCAAAGGAAAGCCAATGCTGGATTCCTGATATCCACATTATTTGCAAAGTTTAGGTACCGATAACAAAAACAGGACTTTGCTACTATTTAGGCAAAGAGGACTTAAAAAAAATTATTTTCCTAAAGAAGAAGAGATTTTAATAATTATGAGTCTATTATGTCTTATCCATTCTTTTTTTAAATATTATGTTTTGTGAACCAACTTGTAAATAATGTGAATGTAAAGCATATATAAAATCACTAAAATTTAGTATTTAAAAAAAAAATTTATATACGTTTAAATTTTGTTGTAAATATCATATGAAAATGAAAAAGATAATAAAGTCACTAAATTTTTAGTTTCTAATTTGATTGATTGGTAAAAGGTTATATTAAGTGTCTAATTTAAAAAATATTAAAAAATTTTGTGTCTATATCAAACATCAATAATTCCTCAAGTAAATATAAAGTCAAAACAAAATTGGTTCGAAAAGTAGGTGTAAATCTTATTTTTAAGAAAATCAAAATTAATTTTTTTTTATATCAGTCATATTTTTTTAATAGCTATATTTGTTAATGCCCTTATTTCTCGGCGTTATAAAGTGTATTTTATGGATCTTAAAATAAGCTACATTCCCTTGTTTTGACATATAAAAAACTATATTTTTTGGATTTAACAGGTTTTAAAATCTTTTGGTACAAAGTTTCAGAATTGTGGCATCACTACAAGCACCATAATAAGGTAAAAGTAAACGGAATGATTTTCGACACTTTTTCCCCCTCAGTTTTTAGTCAAAATCAAGGAAACTTCAAATTGATATAAATTATAAACAATAAGGAATTTTATGAAAAAAAATTACAATCTTTCCTAACATATGTCTAAAAACATTTGTGCCAAGTTTCAAAAATTTTGGTGATATAGGGTATATATATATATATATATATATTATATATATATATATATATATATATATATATATATATATATATATATATATATATATATATATATATATATATATATATATATATATATATATATACACACTATAATTTAAAAATAATATTATCTCAACAAATATCATTGGATTATTCTTTGCGATTTTCACTAAACATTCTTCACCACACAAAATTGTATATCCAACCAGCTGTGGTGGTATGACAGGTGGAATAATTAAATTCAAAACGGTAATTTACTTGTTTTCTTACTTGATAATTCTCTGTATGAGTTGATGATAGAATCTGATGTTACCATAAGCATACTGAGCAAATCTATACTTGTGGAAATACATGAGTTTTTTCTTGTATGATGCTCCCAGAATTGACAAAAATATTTAATGCGGGCTTTTTAAGACTCTTCTGATAGCTGTCCGATTGGAAAAAGATTTTACAACACATAAATTATGTTATAAAATTTTGCCAATATATATATATATATATATATATATATATATATATATATATATATATATATATATATATATATATATATATATATGCATATATATAAGTAAAATTTTATAACATGTGTTGAAATAGAGTATTTATTTTTATTACCAAGTTAACTTTTTTCATTACTAAAACTTAAAAATTCTTAAAGCTATAAAAAATACATATAAAACTTAAAAATAATCAACAAATGCGTAACTAATCAAAATATTATTAATTGCATTCTTTGGAATCAAATTGCAGAACAAAGTATTTTTGTCCACCTAGCTTTTATAAAGCGAATCACTGTTGATCGTCCATAAATTAGTAACATATATATATATATATATATATATATATATATATATATATATATATATATATATATATATATATATATATATATATATATATATTAGTAACATATATTTGTCATTTATATATTAGTCATTTGACAATGATGAAATTCCAAGCTCGTGGTCTAAAGCAAATGTAACGCCTTTGTTCAAGAAAGGCTCTCGAATCGATCCAGCAAACTACAGACCAGTCTCCCTTACCTCAATTTCATGTAAAATAATGGAAAAACTTGTCAAGAAAGCGATCATGATGCATCTAAAATTGAACGGCCTTCTATCAAATTGTCAACATGGCTTTGTAGAGAAAAAGGCATGCGTCACAAATCTGCTTGAAATAATGGACTTTTTGACCGCGAACATGGCCAGAAAACTACCAGTTGATGTCGTATTCCTGGATTTTGCCAAAGCATTTGACAAAGTACCACATGAACGGTTGCTCTATAAACTAAAAATGTATGGAATCAAAGGAAATCTTCTTAATT